TTTCTGAAGAAGGATCTGGGCCCAAAACGTCAGCCTTCCTGCTCCTCTGATGCTGCTTGGCCTGCTGTGTTCATCCAGCTTTACACCTTGTTATGTCAGATTCTCCAGCATCCGCAGTTCCTACTATCTCTGCATAAATTAAGTTCTTTGTGACTGTGCTTATTATCTGGGCATTATCCTTCCCTGATCACTCAGCAGTCTATCAATGGTTAATCATAGCATCCCTCCTCCACACAGTAACAAAAACAAAATACTGAAGATGCTGTAAATTTTAAAATGGAAGGCAATGTAAATACTTAGTAGATCTGGTAGCATTTGTGTCTGTTTTTTCTCTACGGGTGCTGGCAGATCTGGTGAATATTTCCAGAGTGTGTGCTTTTCTTCCTTATGTTGTCCAGTTTGGTGATACTGCTGTGGTTTAGCTCCATTCTTAATTTTTTAAAACATAATTTCATAATATCCAGCAATGACTTCTGTTTGCACCTCACATTTTGGCTCAAGCCCCTTCAGAGTCTGTCAAGAATATAACATGATCTTTTACATTGGCTTGATATCCTTTCTTTCCTTTTCATACTGGCACTTTTCAGCACATTTATTGATTAAACTTACTTTTAAACAGAGCCTTTAACCTACGTAAATGATGTACTTGAATTTTTTCTCCTTTTTACACCAATTTCTTTCTACACTGCTGCTCTCTTGTTGACTCCCCACTGAAGTATGGTTTGAGGCACAGCTCAGTGACTGGGAACATCATAGAGGTTATCATATTCGAGATCCTTACCCACTTCCAGTTGTGGTTGCTGGATAATGATGAGAAGCAGGAACTGTAATAACTTCTCCCTTTATTAGTAGGAAGGTAGCTAACCTAGAACAGTTATCACATCAAATCTTGAATATTTCTGTTCAGTACAGTTCTGCTCATGACTGGAAAAGCCTCTATCACCTGCCTGGGAATTTTTTTTTTTCTGTCTAGTTTTAAGTGCAGCATGGAGATTTTGTTTTTACAGAGTAAGATATAAATACAGTAAATATTTTACTTGTGTGAAACTGAGTGAATCAGAATGTAATTTTGTGAGTGATGTAGGTGTAGTACATATCAGAGGACTGGGACAACAATACATTCATACCTTAAATTGTCTCATTTTTTTAAAGTTCATTCTTGCAGCATGAACATATCTGGCCTTGTTGCCCTCGAGAAAGTTGTGGTGGGCCTTTCTCTTAAAACAACTGCAGCTAAGCTGCACTTACAATGCTGTTAGGTAGGGAGTTCCGTACATTTTGACCCATAATGATAAAGCAATTATGATGTGTATCCAAGTCCAGATAGTGTGTGACTTGCTGTCATGGTGTTCCAGTGCACATTGTCCTTTTCCACCAGAGAGATATTAATTGCAGGTTTGGTAAGTGTTGCAGAAGGAGCCTTGATGAATTGCTGCAACGTATCTGTAGATAGTATACACTAAAGCTGTTGTTTGTCAGTGTGGGATGTTTCGACTTGTAGATGAAGTGCTAATTAAGTAGACTGCTTTTTTTGTCTCGGTATTATTGCTGTTGTACCCACCTAGACCAGTGGTGAGTATTCCTATGGTCACCTGAGAAGCAGAAAGCCATTTTGGAATCATTCACCACAAAATAATCAGCCTCTCTTGCTTTGGTAGCCAGCGTTTATGTAGCTACTCTAGTAATTGGGGGCTTGTTGATGGTTCAGAAGCAAATGTGCTATCCTTGAGTCAAAGTTGACATCTTATGAGCAAGGGGAAGAACAGAAATCATGGGTCCTGGTTCTGTCCTTGGGCCAGGCTCCGTTTCCAAGCCAAGTTCAGTGGCTCGCCCGTCGCTCCATCCCCTGCCCCTACAGCCAGCAGCTCTACAGCCAGCACCAGCCCCCAGCCCTGCCGGGTCTTCACCATCCCCCCAGACCTCCCCCTCACTGAGGACAAACGGTCAGTCCTCAGTAAAGGACTCACCTTCATCCCCCTCCACCCGAACATCAATGAATACCGTTCGTGCCTGGGGTCGAACAGTTTTTCTGCCGCCTCCGCGCTTACTTCTTTAACCGTGAGCCTCACCCTCCCGGTACAGACCTCTTCCCCCACCTCTAACACACACCATCCTCCTGGACACCACCCCAAGGCCTCCTACCCTCCCTTGACCTCTTCATCTCCAACTGCTGTCACGACATCGATCGCCTCAACCTCTCCCCCACAGAACACACAACCCTCCGCTCCAACTCTAACCTCACTATCAAACCCATGGACAAAGGAGGTGAAGTTGTGGCATGGTGCACTGACCTTTACATCGCCGAGGCCAGGCGCCAACTCTCCGACACCTCCTCCTACTGCACCCTTGATCACGACCCCACCCCTGACCACCAAAACATCATCTCCTAAACCATCCACAACCTCATCACCTCAGGTGACCTCCCACCCACAGCCTCCAACCTCATCATTCCCCAACCCCACACTGCCTGTTTCTATCTCCTTCCCAAAATCCATAAACCTGACTGCCCTGGCCGACCCATTGTCTCTGCCTGCTCCTGCCCCACCGAACCTATGTCCACTTACCTCGACTCTATTTTCTCCCCCCAAGTCCTGGAACTCCCCACCTACATCTGGGATACCACCCACGCCCTCCACCTCCTCCAAAACTTCCAATTCCCTGACCCCCAACACCTCATCTTCACTATGGACGTCCAGTCCCTATATACTTGCATTCCCCATGCAGATGGCCTAAAGGCCCTCTGCTTCTTCCTCTCCCGCAGGCCTGACCAGTCCACTGATACCCTTATCCACCTAACGAACTTGTCCTTACCCTTAACAACTTCTCCTTCAACTCCTCCCACTTCCTACAGATGAAAGGGGTGGCCATGAAAACCCGCATGGGCCCAAGCTATGCCTGCCTCTTTGTAGGATATGTGGAACAGTCCCTCTTCCGCAGCTACACTGGCCCCATCCCCCACCTCTTCCTCTGTTACATCAACGACTGTATCACCGCAGCCTCGTGCTCCCATGAGGACCTTGAACAGTTCATCAACTTTACTGACACCTTCCACCCAACCTCAAGTTCACCTGGACCACCTCTGATATCTCTCTCCTTCCTGAACCTCTCTGTCTCTATCTCTGGTAACCACCTCGAAACCGATATCTATTTCAAGCCCACCGACTCCCACAGCTACCTAGACTACGCCTCCTCTCACCCACCTTCCTGCGCCACCTATCCACCCCTCCCTCCTGTGACCAACCCCCATCCCCACTTCCTACCTACACTCACCTTTACTAGCTTCAACCCCGCCTCCTTGCCCTGTCCGTCTTCCCTTCCACCCACTCCACTATCCACCTTCTATCACTGTACCCACCTCTCTATTTATTTCAGAGCCCCCTTCTCCTCCCCCATTTCTGAAGAAGGATCCCAACCCGAAATGTCAGCTTTCCTGCTCCTCTGATGCTGCCTGGCCTGCTGTGTTCCTCCAGCTCCACACCTTGTTATCTCAGACTCCAGCATCAGCAGTTCCTACTATCTCCAAGTTCAGTGGGTCCCCTGGGTCACAGTCATTGGGCCCTAAGAAACCTACATGTCCCAGGTCCTGCTTATGCCATTGCAGTCTCCAGCTCCCTGTATTTTGCAAAGCGAATGGAAATCACGTTTGGACATTAGCAATGAATAAACTAGCATTCTTTATGGGGCAGCACTTGTAAGTACAATGTCAGCCCAAAGCTTTACTTTTTTTAAAATTTGAGGTTCTTAGAGGGAAGGATTCTAGGTAATCCAAGATGGAGGAGGGTCAAAATTATGGCTGTAAGAGCAGCTCCTTTTTTTGAGGTATTTTCAGCGTCGGAGCTGAATTCCTTGAATTCTAGCAGCAGTAATCACTTATTTAGAAGCTGTTGCACTGTTTTGTTACTTTGGGGAGGGAGAAACAATCAAAGCAATGGTACTTTAAAAAGGAGGAAGAGAGACAAAGCTAGTGACTACGTGGGAACGAAACAAGTGAAAAGGGACCTAAGGGGCAACTTTTTCACGCAGATGGTGGTGCATGTATAGAATGAGTTGCCACAGGAAGTAGTGGAGGCTGGTACAATTACAACATTTAAAAGGCATCTGGATAGGTATATGAATAGGAAGGATTTAAAGGGATATGGGCTAAATGCTGGCATACAGGACTAGATTTATTAAGGATATCTGGTCGGCATGGACAAGTTGGACCAATGCGTCTGTTACCATGCTGTGCATCTGTAACTCTGTATGACTCTGACTTTGGATGATTCAGCTGTACCAAATTTTTGACACAAACACATGCTGTTTGAATTTATAGAAGATTGTGCTTGGAGCGCTGGATCTTCTGCAATCTCTCAAATATGGATAGTGAAATAAACTCCTGGAAAAATTATTATTTACATCGTTCCAAAACAGAGCAGCACATGGCATCAGGGCATAGCACTACTGACTATAACTGCATAACTTTCAGGGGTCACACTGGTAAGTTGAATATGTTTGATTTTGTTGCAGTAGGGACAGTTCATAGGTTGTATAGCTAGCACAGGGGACAAATAGAATGAAAAAAGGTGATTCCAGCTGTTCCCTCTGAAGATAAGCATCTCAAAAAAAAAAGACAAGTTGGAAATGGACGATTAGGCTGTTTTCATAAGGGTAACTGTTGACTGTATGCAGCCATTTGTTGTCAACAAGCCTGTACATACAAGATTGTTGTTGGATGACTTTGATGAGGAAGGAAAGAGTTAAATGGCTGTAACAAATCATATAACATTGTACAAGCATATCTCAAAGTACAGGCTTGTCCACCTCATTCCCCTCTAATGTAGCAAATTAGAGTGCAGCTCTTCGACAGAATTCCCTCTCATCATACCTAACATCATTTAAAAATGGAAAGGCTCCTGAGCCTTGCAACAGGCAGTTGTGCAGGTTTTTGGTGCAAAAGCAGCCATAGGCCAGCTGTACTTTGGCAACAAAAGAGATGAATAATAAGCTCCAACTTCATGAAAATGAATAAAGCTTTTGCTTAAAGATATTACATCGTACTTGCATTTGCTTTAAATCAAGTTTTTCCATAAAGCTGTCTCCACATGCTGAATGCGAACAGTGCTTTGCCCCAGATCATTTTATAATTATTCCCTTTCAAGTATTTATTCCATTTATTGTTAAATAATATTCTACTCTTACTTTAACAGCCACTAATGGTGAAGCAACCCATTGTCGAGTGGTGCTCAGATCAGAAAAACTGCTCTTTCCAGTGAGAATTCCTGCAGTTTCTGCCCTCCTCTTTCTCGTTTGTCCCCTGCGGAATCAAGCTTTTAAAAGATACCCATGACAAACTGCCTACATTTTACTCACCCCCTACTAGCTGCTCCTGTCCGATAGTGCTCCGATGGAGAATGCTAGGCCCTATGCCACCTAATTTCCCAATCTCCTGACCCCCACTTCCTTTCTGTACACTCTGGTACCAATCTCCTGACAACAACTGTGACACCCTTATTTTCTTCTAATATGGTCTGAAGAAATGCCCGAGACCTAATAGAATGAGGGACTGATGGATATATGAATTAAGGGTTCATTGGGTGTGGAATGATTACATAAATGTGTGGAACTAATGATCAGGATGAGTTATGTGGAGTGTGGTTAACTGAACGAAAGCTACCACTAAAAATGTAGATTGCTAAAATATAGTTGTTATCTTCTCATATAGAATAACCCTCACCCCCATCATGACCCTATTAATTCTTTTTCCCCAGCCCACTCAAAGCCACGACATCCTGAGCACCTAACCCACATGAAACTATGATACAAATGTCCCCCCACCTGTGCTGGTCTCCTACTGCAAAGCAACCATTTATCCCCAACCACCAAAGTGCACGCGCGCACCACTCCAGATATCTGGAAACCAACTGAGTTCCTGATTACCTGATGCAGGAGCAGGCTGTGGAAGACACTGAGCTGAAGCTACTTGTGTTGGTAGTTGGCAAAATCACAGAGCAGGATTTAAAGTGCAGACTTCTCCCAAGCTAACATTCTGTGTGAATAAGGTAAATTTGGAGAACACAGGGGATTCCTCCAGCCACAGTTTTAATACTCCACCAGCATCATTCTGCCAGGCAGGACAGATTAAACTCAGAGCTACAGCTGGAAAAGAAAAACTTGAAATGGAGGATTCCATACAAGGAAAATAAAGTTCAATCTGAATATTGCTTCTAACCAGCCATCCTTCCTAACAAACTACAATAAACCAGCAAATTGTTCATGGCCACCTATATTTGTTTTCATCTTCAAAGACAGTATCACTGGCCTGCAGTACCTGAGTAATCTTGACCATCAGTTCGATACTGGGATTTGTAAATCATTGGTGTGCACAGCATCCAGAGACTGTACACTGCGAGCATGGAACGTTCAGGAGGTTAGCACAATCAATTTCTTAATCCACTTGTTGCTAACTACTTCAGTAAGAATTGCTGCTAATAACTGGCGCTTTAATGAGCAAATGTGTATTATAAAAGAACAATATGAAATATTAAGCAACAGAAAATGTGTATAAAATTATAATCCTTTTATAACGAGTGCCTTGGTCTTGCAAAATCAGCTTCCTCCTGGCTGAGTTTATCAATGGGGTTGTGAGGTTAATGTATATTACTCAGTATTAATTTGCTATAAAATAATAGACTTAATTTTCACATAAAAAGATACAAAATGAACAATCTGTTCTTTTAAAAACAATAAATGAATTTGATAAAGTTGACATTCAGATTTTGGGAAAGAACAAAACACAAGTCACAACTATGAAGTGAACTTATGATGAGAATTTCTTCACACTGAGAACTGTCAACAAATGGAATAGGTTGCTGTTGGGTTTGGCAATATTAAATCCACTGAAGCCTCTGATCAAGAATATACCTATTTCTATTCCAGCAAATAGTAAAAGGCACAGGGAACAAAAGTCTAAGAGAGTCAGCTGGTAGTTTCTTATTTTGATAAAATTAATTTATTTAGCAAAATTACCATGTATGATAGTGTATAAGTCTAGTTCCTAAGACAATTTCTTGTTAAGACATACTAAATCAACTTTTACAAGAGTAACATATTGCAAAGGTTGAAATATACCCTCGCCCATTTTCTTGCGATTGCAGAGTTGGAGACTGTTCGTACCCAGCATGCTTTCACAGTAGCCAGAAAGTTTGCTTCACTGGTGTGCTATTTTATAATTCTGTCAAAGTAGATCTGCACCAGAAATTTCATCAGCAAGTGGGTTGTAATTACAAAGCGTCTGAACATTTTGGTTAATTTGGTAGTCAATTTATACACAAGATAAATCACTACTTAAATATATGCAGTATTTCAGCATATCTATTTAATTTATGTATAACGTTATGTAAAACTGTATGTGGACCTTTGCCCAGAAGGTTCATAACTAAATCATGCAACACATCTTGTGTTCAAAGGGTAAACAACTATGGTCAACTCCGGTGCAAGAAGAACCATTGGTGAAATTAATAACTGTTCCACAAAAAGTCCTTGCTATCACCACAGACTCAAAGGGAAAAATCAAAATTTGGAATGGGCAGACTGGAGATGAGTTGGCTGCATATGATATTTCATGTACAGTTTGTCATTTGGTGACCAGCAAAGTGAATAACCAGCTCTACCTAACTGTATGTCAATTTATTTAATAATATTAGTGTTCTTGAATTTTAAAATGTGTACAACTATAGGTGAGAGAAGTTTAGATCAGATGTCAGACTTTTTTAAGTCAAAGGTAAAATCAATTTGTCTTGTTCCTTGAAATTTTTAATTCTTCAGAGTTTTGTGTGCCCTCTTAGATAAATAAGTATGCTGTTCAGTCAGGGATCTTTCCGTGTCTGGGGTCAGTATTCTATAACACATTCAGCAGAAATACTAAATGTAGATACAGCCTTAAAAACTGGCCTGAGCCAGGATGAGAATTTCTGACTTTAAGCACCCATTTGAGAATGCAGTCAGATTGGAATTTAGCATTTCAGAATGATTGTATCTCTTTGACTATGGGTTTCAGGAAACAAAGCATTTATCTACTTGTTCAGTGTTTATCATAGTTAGCTTGTCTCAAGTTGTAATATATTTGATGGATTTTAAAGAAGTGCTTTACAGAAGATGAAAACATACAGAATTGATTTTTTTTTTGACCAAAAAATAATGAAAATGTATAGGATCACTTCCCTATCATTCTCAGTAGAGCAAATGTGACAGCATTTCATCTGAGCTGATACTGTTAGCAAAGACACTCACTGGCTTGTGAATTCAGCCTTTTTGTTTAACTCACCAGCACACATTTCCAAATACTTCTAAATTTTTTCCCTCTTAAACTTAACATTCATAGTTTATCTGAAATTATATCTTCCTTTTCTAATCTCTAATTAGTGCTGTTCTTTTTTCCCCCATTTCCAGACTAGTTTTGCCCCAGGTAGTTTCTTTTTGTAATCATAGTTGCTCTGCTGAAACTTTTGCTTGACAATAAACCAGGACATGAAAGTTGAGCACAATAGTCCAAGTACCCTCTTGATCTCTTGCGGCTTAACTCAAGGAGTGACTGAATTCCGGACACTCCTTCTACAGCTCATGCTAAGAGGATGTGGAAAGACAGTGAGATCAAAGGCCGAATGGACACAGGTTTAAAATAAAAGAGGGGAAAATCATACATCCATGATAATCACACAGTGGGCAACACAGCATAATAGTGAAGGAAAATAAGAGATCCAGAAGTGAAACATAGAGATAGGTGGTATGGACCATATTCCTCAAGCCTGCTCCACTGATAATAAAATTTAGGTTGATTTTAGGCTTCAAATATATCTTCTCACCCACTCCCCATACACTGGAGAACCAAAAGAGCTGCAGTGCTCTAAATCAGAAACAAAAAAAAACAGAATACTGTTCTGAGGAAGGGTCACAGGCCCTGACACATTAATGCTGATTTCTCTTCACAGATGCTGCCAGACCTACTGAGCTTGTGCAGCAATTTGTTTTTGTTCCCCATACTGTTGACTTCTTTACCAAAACTTGAAATACAACGTTTTAAAAGTTTGTTTTTCATTGTAGGCTGGCACTAGAGGAGGTGCACTTATCACACTAAGTATTCCTAATCTTAGCCAGATCTCTCACTTATCAGTGATGAAGGATTATCAAGTCGATTTTCTACTGGTATCACCAGATCAGCAGTGGATCATTGCTGGTACGGAAGAAAATGATGATATCCCTGCTAAGGTACATATTTCCTCCTTGTGATCTTTTAACATGTCTTTTACAAATATAGAATGCTGTAATATCAAACATGTCATTACTGTTCTAATGTAGCAGCAATTCTAAGTGTTATTGAAATCAACCTCTAACTATTGTAATGTATGACTGATCACATTGATGCAAAACACTAATGTGCAATGCTGCAAGGATGGTAGTGTGAAGTGAAACTCAGATTGGCACTGAAAGTAAAAGATCTGCACTCTTATCTCAGATGTAAATTTGACACTGTTTTGGCTTCATACTGGCTGTGAAATAACTGCAGGCTTTGAAAGTTTAAAAGACAAATCACTGGACTGTCTGTGAATAGTTCAAGTATAATGTTTAGCCCTCTTTGTATGAAGATCATAGGGAGTACTGATGTTCCTTCTTACCCCTAGCATTAAAAATTGGCTGATCATTAACTAAAACTGTAATATGTTTGTGTATGAACAGTATCACAGTATAGTAAACTTTGCTTAAACTGGCACCTTAATGAACCAGCATTCTTGATGAACCAGCAAAAATTATATACCTCAAATACCACAAAGTTTGCTGTAATTTTCTGTCCAATTATTATAGTACTTTAAATTTATTTACCTCAATGTAAATATACTTGTTGAATCAATTGGCCACACAGAAGATCAACAGTTGATTCAATTTCAAGTCAATTCCTCTCAAATACCCCAAACTACTACAAGGTGAAAGTAGTCAGTTGAGGGTGCGAGTGAAAAGGCTGTCTGTCACTGTTTTATTTAAGGCAAAGTTGCCTTATTAATTAAGTGATTTATGCTATAAATAAAGTATAACAGTGGTGTATACTCCCTGTATTATGTTTTTATTACTGTTTTTACATTGTTTACATGGACCTCTTGATTATCTGTAATATTTGATCAACCGGCACACTCCTGGTCCCATAAGTGCCAGTTAATAAAATGTTTGTTTATATTAAGCAGTAAGAAAGTGCAAACAATAATGCAGCTTAGTTATTCCGTTTGCATATCACACTCTATGGAATCCTCATGGAGGTATGAAAACAAATTTTACAATTTAATGCATCTGGTTCAAAGGAAGTGCAGGTCAGAAATCAATTTCAAGAGGTCAGTGTCATAAATTTATGGCTTACAAAGTTTCCAAACCAATTAATGTCATCACTGGACTATAAAATTTAACCTGCCATCGTGAGAGTTCAAATATTAGTCAAAATGACAATGGACGATTTCTACAGTGGACATTTTTACCAATAATCTCCTTAACATTAAAATAAGAAACAAAATGATACGTTGTCTAAGTTGTTTCCATAAAGAAAAAGTCAGTAGGTTGAAGATAATTATGCTGGTCAATAAAAAGGATCTGATGAATTTTGATTGCTAGACATTTTATGAAATATACCTAATCTCATATAGGAACAGAGCCACTAAAACAAGGTATACTTCTTCCAGGTGTTGCGAACAGAACTTTTATCAAACTCTGGTAATCTGTCACCAACAACAACAGACTCCCTACCACTGAAGGGTTGTTTTATGGCTTGCTGGTTACCAAAAAAACCATCCAGAGTGGTTACAGTAACCCATAGCAATGTCATGTCTTCTGAGATCACTATTGTTACTCTTGATATCATTCTTCAGAAAACAAAACAGAAACTGGAAATACAAGGTAATAATGATTTCTATTTTGTGTTGTAAAATATGACATTGTTAAAATCTTATTAAATTTATTCAGCAAAGGTTTTGGGTTTAGAAACATAGAAGATAGCATAGTAGGCCATTCAATCCCTTGAGCCTGATCTGCCATTCAATATGGTCATGGCTGACCATGGAGCTCAATAACCTAATATTGCTCTCTCTCCATACAGCTCTTAAGAGCTATATCTACCTCCTCCTTGAAAACCTACTGTCTTGACTTTAAACACTTTGTGGTAGTTAATTCCACAGGCTCAACACTCTGGGTGAAAAAAATTCTCACCATCTCACCGTAAATGGTTTACCCCCATCCTTGAACTATGACTGCTGGTTCTGGATGGTCCCTAGCATCGGGAACATCTTTCTGCATCTAACCTGTCTAGTCCTGTAGAATTTTATAGGTTTCTATGAGATCCACCTTCATTCTTCTAAATTCCAGTTAATACAATCATAACTGACTCAAACTCTCTTAATACATCAGTCCTGCCACCCTAGCAAGAACCTCCTTCGTCAGTTAAGGTGACCAAACTCCACACGATATTCCAGGCATGGCCTCACCAACTCCCTACCTAATTGCAACAAGACATCTGTGTTCCGATACTCAAACCATCTTGCTATGAAGGCCAACATACAGCTTGCCTTTACTGCCTGCTGCACCTGCACACTTACTTTCATTGACTGGTGAATTAAGACACCTGGGTCTTATTGAAAGTTCCAACGTTTCAATTTACAGCTAGTTAAACAATAATGTGCCTTCCTTTTGTTGCTACCATAGCGAATAACCTCACATTTAACCACATTATCCTGCATCTGCCAAGTGTTTTGAAACTCACTCAGCCTGTCCAAATCACACTGCAACATCTCTGCATCCTCCTCACAGCTCACCCTTCCACCTAACTTTGCGCCATCTGAAAATTTTGAGTACATTTAGGTCCATCATCTAAACCATTAACATACATTGTGAATAGCTGGAGTCCTAGCATAGATCCCCACAGTATCCTGATTAGCAGGCAGTGACATTCAGAAAAACTCATTAATTCCTACTCTTTGTGTCCTATCTGCTAACCAATTATCAATAATATCTCAATGCACTATCTCCAAAATTATGCACTTTAATTTTATGCATTAATCTCTTACATGGGACTTTGTTGAAAGCCTTCTGAAAGTCCAAATAAACCACATCTACAGACTCCCCAAATCAAGTCTAGTTACATCCTTGAAGAATTTCACTAGATTTTTCATGCACAACTTCTCTTTTGTAAATGCTTACTTACTGTGTCTGATTCTACTATCGTTTTCCAAATGCTCTGATATAAAATTCTCGATAATGGACTCCAGTATCTTCCCCACTACTGATGTCAGACTTACTGGTCTATAATTCGATGTTTTTAAATACTGGGGTTACATTACCTACTCTCCAATCTATAGAATCTTGGAAGATGACCACCACATAGCATCCACTATTTCTAGGGTCACTTCCTTAAATAGTCAGGCATGTAGATTATCAGGCATGAGGGATTTATCAGACTTCAATCCCATCAATTTATCTAACACCATTTCTCTACTAATTCAATTTGCTTAGTTCCTCCCTTTCACCAAATCCTGTGTTCTCCATCATTTCTGATGGTTATTTGTGTCCTCCTTCATGAAGGCAGAAGTGAAATAGGAATTTAATTTATCAGCCATTTCTTTGTTTCCCATTATGAGTTCCCTGTTTCTGACTGTAAGGAACCTACATTAGTTTTCACCAATCTTTTTTTCTCTTTACATACCTATAGAAACTTTTACAGTCAGTTCTTATGTTAACTGCAAGCTTACTCATTCTCTATTTTCCCCTTCTTAATAAATCCCTTGGTTCTCCTTTGCTGGCTTCTAAACTTTATCCAATCCTATTTTTTCTTTCTTGACAATTTGTGTGACTTTTTTTTGCATGTCATTATGTCTCTAACTTCGCTCGTAAGCCATGGTTTGACCACTGTTCTCCTTGCATTCACACCAGACACTAATAAACATTTTTTGTAGTTCACCCATTCACTCTTTGAATGTTTGCCATTGCCTATCCACTGTCATTCCTTGCAGTAACATTTCCCAATCCATCATAGCCAACTCATGCCTTATACCATTGTAGCTTCCCTGTTTAAGATTCAGGATCCTAGTCCCAGAATCAACTACTTCACTCACCATCTTGGTGAAGAATTCTGTCATATTATGGTCGCTTATCCTCAAGGGGTATCTCTCAGCTACATGACCAACTATTCATTTCTCATTGCACGTTACTCAGTCTAAGATGGTCTGTTCTTTAGTTGGTTCCTCAACATAGTGGTCCAGAAAACCATCCTATAGACACTGTAGGAATTTGACCAATTTGATTTGCACAATCTATATGCAGATTAAAGTCACCCATCATTACAGACGTGCAAGTACCACATTTATATCTGATTTCCTGTTATTTACTGTTGGGATTGCTGTTGAAATTTATTATTCTGCAAGCTTCAGCTTCATGCTTTCACTCAGTACAGCTTGTGTTTTATGTTTGCATTTGTTAGTTCAAATTAACTATAATGATAAGCAGTGTGCCTCTGATCACTTGGTTGATTGGTTTGTTAACGTACCCAGATTGTCTTGTACTCCACCCACCATTTGTATTAAATATTCAGCTGTCGATGGTCAGAGTATGCTTGGGACATTAGACAAGTTCACAAGTGGGATCACCGGGGTTGTGTCGTTCTCATAGCCTGCCAGGACTCTGGAGACTTTCAGTATGAAGACTGTCCATTTTAATGAAATAGTGGAGGGCAGCAATCTATTTGGATGCAAATCCTGGAGTTTATGATGACCAGTTAGATTTAACAGCTGCATATTTCTCATTGATCCATAGCTTCAAAAAGTTGAAGCAACTGGTACAACTATTATACCTATTGATTATGTTGATGAGTAGATCCAGGTATGCAAAGTGTTAAAATCTCTTCCCTTTTGAAGTTACACATTAAATGGTAATGTGAATTTAATCATTTGATATTCTGTGTTATTTATATAAGCTAAACAGGTTGGAAATTTCACCTGCAAAATAGTTGGCTGGAATAATATACTTGTTGAAGGCCATGGAATTAATACCATCATTCTAGCACAAGGTACCGAACTGAAACTGTTTTCCATTGATGGTACACATCATGCCAGCTTTCGTGACCACAAGGAAACAATCAGTGGAATTTCAGTGGTACGATTTACAAATTTGTTTGATAATTAGATAACCATGTTAAAATTTAAACCGTTCTCACAAGGTTTTATTTTTATGTATAAAGGATCCCTTCCGTGTGGTCACTGCATCAATGGATTTGTCACTTAGAGTATATACCTGGAAAAGGCAACCAAACAAATATCTCAATCTTGAAAGTAATTACCATTTGCTGGGGGGTTCTCACTTGAGATCCAGGTAGGATCCCTTTCTTTGCATTTAACAAATCATTTGTTAATAATGAGAAATCACTACTTTGTAACAGATGTTCTATATTGTCCCCAATTATTAAACAAGTGAGGCAGGGGATGAAATGAGAATCAGACAATGGGTAGTTGAAATGATCATTATCAAAAGGGAGAAATTTTAAGGAGACTTTTGATTATTAATTTCCCCTTACTAGCTCTAGAAAAAAAAGTTCAGAATGAAAGGCACCAAAGCTCTTTATTAGTAGATGTAAGTGAAGTATGGGAACGTAAGTAGTAAAGCCAGATTGATTGGAGTTTGCTAAATTTATGATAAGCATTTCTGCAGCTATGGAAATAAAACAAACATTGAAAACATGGAGATGGGGATCGAGTGAAATTGTTTGGGACATGGGCAACATGGTTTATGTCTTTAAGATTCTACAGTTGCACAAAGTTGGATTCAGCCTGAGAAACAGTTTTGGGGTGGATATACAACAACGAAAAACAGTGTGTGAAATTTTGTGTTGCAGTAAAGGGTCAGTGGACCTGAAACCGTGACTCTGCTTTCTCTCCACAGATACTGCCAGACCTGCTGAGTTTCTCCAACAATTTGTTTCTGTTTTTCCAGTTTTAAAGTTTATAAAATTCTGGCTCACAATGACCAGACAGAACAGTGACAACAGTAGGGTTAAGAGGTGATTATGGAAGTTAACCTTACACTTGTGATTTACTGATAAATGGGAAGAATGGGGATAGGCAAGGATGAAACTTTATGCATAATTGAGGTGATCCCACTGAAAAGGAAAAGCCAATGCAACACATGCTGTCTAAGAATGTACAGAGTAGAAGACCAAGAGGGCAATACCATTAATATAGACCACTTCATCAAAAGCCACAATTCATGACTGTGTTAGTCATTTACTATCAGGGAGGAATCTAATTTTAAGAGGCTATATTTTTCCAAAAGTGGTCTACACGTTTATCATGTTAACTGTGTTCTTTTCGCAGGGGATTTATAAGTGTATTGTGTGACTATGTAAGCATTGTTGGTGCTGTTCAATCAAAGGATGGAAAAGATGTTCTAAAAGCATACAACTTCAATCTGTAAAGAATTCTTCCATCACAAAGACTATTTCATTCTGTACAGCATGAATGTTATGTATTATTTTGCAAAGTGACAAATTTATGGAATCAGACCTTTAGTTTGTAACATGTACATGTGTACATTACTATTATTATATCATTGCTGGCTTTTGATTTAGCTGTATTTTATGTTGATTCTGGCAAGCTGAAAATAAATCAGCTTTAATCTTTTCAGTGGCTGCCACTATGTATACACTTTCCCCATAAGATGATTCCCAGTAAAATTTTACTGGGTGAGGGAACTTATACAATAATGAATAAAACCAAAAGAACTGTGGATGCTGAAAATCAAGAACAAAAACGAAGCTGCTGGAAAAGGTTCTGAGGAAGAGTCACCGGACCCAAAACGTTAACTCTGTTTTTTGACTTCACAGATGCTGCCAGACCTGCTGAACTTTTCCAGCAACTTTGTTTTTGTTATAAAATAATGAATTAATATTAATAGGATGGGCTAAAAAAAAGAAAAACTGCTCACTGCCAATTCTTAGTAATTTCGCAACTTAGCCTTCTCTTCAGAATGCCCTAGACGTTACTTAAAATGGTAACCCTTTACATTGTAAATGACAGAAATGTTGGTTAAGATTTTGGTGCTGAAGTAATGGCAAGGTTAACGTGTGCATCATTATTCGTGTGTGAAATGTCAAGAAACTTGGGGGTAAAGGCATACACTGTGAATTAAGAACTGCTACAATTTGTTGGACAATTTTTGCCACTCCATCAGCCCCTTAATGGAATGTTGAATGTTACTTTTTATGTTTCACAAAATGCTGTATTTTCAAATTAATTGCCAATGGTAGAATAGGACTGGTAATTAACAATGTACCTAATATTATTAGAGATTTGAGTTTCTGTAATATTACTGAACCTTTCCTGTCCACAAAGGGAATTAAAATTATGAATTATTCCTGCAAATAGTAAGTTATTACTTTTAAAAATTCTTATGTTTCTTTTGCCCTTCTCTTAATCCAGTCTTTCTTGATCTCTTCATTTCTCTTACTTAACCAAATTTTGCTTTGATTAATTTGCTTTGATTAATTTGATTTCCTGTCATTCCAGTTTCTTTCTCAAATCCTTAAATCCATTAGTAAGGGCATAAACTCAGATCCCATTGTTCATCACAATCCTAGATGGCCCAATGCTCTGATGATGCTATTATCGACTAGCACAGCACAAAACATTTAAGCCAGATCAACAAATTTTTAAAAAATTCAACTATCAAAACACATCCCTGAATGCTCTATTCCATCAATATCTGCGTCATTATCCTTATAAAGGATCTAAAAGTCAGGAACATTTTGTTCTGCAAAATACTTTCCACAACTATCTATCCCATTTATAAATGATAGACTTAATGTTTATAAATGCACTATGTATTGCAGCACTGAATTAAGGTGAATAAAGACTTACTGCTAGAACCATGAAACACTTGGACAAAAATGTGACCTGGCTATTTTTACTTGGTAGCAATGCCTTGCACCCAATGATCCCAAAAAGACTTCTGCAAGTTTTTAAATAATTATTTCATGGGATTTGAGCATAGCTGACAAATGCAGCTTTAGTGCCCATCTGTAGCCACACTTGAGGTGGTGGGATGGGATGTAGGTACATCCACAGTGGTATTAGGGAGTTCCAGGTTCTTGATCCAGTGACAGTTAAGGAACAGCAATATAGTTCCAAGTCAGGATAGTACACAGCCTGGACGGAACTCGCAGACGACTTCGTTCCTACGTGTCCATTCTCTTTAGGTGGCAGAGGTTGAATTTTGGAAGGTGTTGTTGAAAGAGTATCAGAAAGTTGTTGCAGTGATCTTGCACACATATACTGCTGCAAATCAGCGGAGGGAGTAAATATTTAAGGCAGCATGTGGGATGCCAATCAATCAAGCTACTTTGTTCTAGGCAGTGTGGAACTTCGAGTGTTAATAGAGCTGCACTCATCCAGGCGAGTGGGGAGTATTCCATCACATGTCTGACTTATCCTAGTAGATGGTGACAGGCTTTGGACAGTCAGCAGGTTAGTTACACACTGCAGAATTCCCCAGATTTGATCTTCTTCTTAAAGCCACATTGAATATGACCAGGCATACAAATAGTTTCTGGTTAATGGTAACCCCTCACCCAGGACGTTGATGATGGGGAATTCAATGGTAATGTTGTTGAATGTCAAGAGAAACTGGTCATCCATTTAAGTTTTAACTACATTCGCCTAACAGAAAGACCTGGTGTAGGAAACAAGACAATATCTACAATCAAAAAAAGGAAACTACAATTTTGAAAATGTATTTATTTAAATAACTCTACAAAGAAACTTCTGATGAAAATATACTTTCAAAGTAGGTTCATCAAAAAAGGGAACAAACATCTTAAAATCCTCCCATCACTAATCTGACAATTTTTAAATTATGAATAATGTTTCAATAACTCACAAAAGCAAAAAAAGCTTACGATAGAAGTCTATGTTGTGTTTAAACACTCAGATGTTCAAAAGATCAGAACCTATACTATTATACCTCACCTTTTTCAAGTTAGTTGTTTTGACTGGTCTTGTCTGCAGAAGATTAAGACATTCAGTTGTGATGTTCAGTATGATGCCCTAGGAAAGGCAGCAAGTTGTATAGTTATCTCTTTTGGGGCAAAATCTCTGTCCTCGAACTATGCAACCTACTACCTCTACCCAGGAGCTCACCACATTATCCACAGTGATTATCTTATCTGTCAAGAAAAATTACTCAGACATTTTAAAGTACAAAAACAATACAGCAAAGTAATCTTCAGTGTCTAAATAGAGGCCGATGTCTATTTTATTTTCTTTTTTAAAAGCCCTTATGTTTCACACAAATAGTTACGCTGTAAAATCTGATTTGTTTTTATTTTTGTAAAGAGAATTTAACACTACCTGGTAACTTTACAAAAGTAGATTACCAATGACATTATTTCTTGGAATGACAATTATTTTACAACCGTCCCCTATTGTTCCTCTGTTTAGTTTTGAATCCTTGCTAATTTATGATTCATGGCTGACAACCACCCACCAATATCTTGTCAGAATGGCCATTGATAACCACAATATCAACATACATTGATAGGCTGTTAAAATGTACAAGATATCACAATGAAACCCAATCCTGCACTCTCAATATTCGTCAATGAACCTTTCAAAGAAGGGCCTTGCTGCCTTTGGAGAATGAGCATGCAGTGTCCACCAATACGCCTGATGCCTGACAAAGAGGTGGGTACCGCAGGGGTTGAAGTACCTCATCTCCACCTCCAAGTCCATTCTGATGGAATCTCCACTCCCCCTCACACTCCACCCATCCCTCACTGGTGGTGTTACTGCACTGCCCTTAGCAGGCTCTACACGAAATGGTTAATTGGAAACATGGGTGATTTAATGATGGTGGATAACAGATGAAAAATGACAAGTGATTTGATGTTGGGGAGAAAGAAAATGTTCAGTTGTATGTGAAAGCACTTTTGGATATATAAAAAAAAAAGGAGCCTTGCCAAATACTGATCAATCATTCTCTATTAAGGCCGATTCAAAGTTTATATTGCTAACTTGGCTGATATCAGTTAATTCGGCAGCGAAAGATCGTGGAAACTCACCTGATTGGTTTGTGGAGCGGTGGTGGGATCTACTTATCTCAGAGGCATAGTAAAAAGGACAAAATACTTTCAAAAACACAATTTGGGTACGAATATAACACGGCAAGAATTTAATGAGATTTCAGAATGATAAAACAAAAAACTTTAAAAAAGGAAATAGAAGGCAAGGGCAAATTAACTAAATACGTAACACAGGAAAACAAGCTCGGTATTCATTTCTGATGAAGGGTCTAGGCCCGAAACATCAGCCTTTCTGCTCCTATGCTGCTGCTTGGCCTGCTGTGTTCATCCAGCTCTGCACCGTGTTGTCGCGGTATTCATAAAGGTGGTTAAATTTTCTGCACTAATTACCTAAATAGTAATCCAAAATATATCCAAGTCATTGAAACGAATTATAATTAATTGTGTTATCTATAAGGAAATTAGTTTGTGCAAACTCTTGTACTGAAAGTTTTTGATCAAAAATCACAAGTCAAGAAATTCTAGACTACAAGACTTTATTTCAATTCCACAATTCCGAAAAAAGTATAACACAGAAGTGGAAATAAAAGAAACAAACTAAGAAAATATACTGCATGATTGAAATTTGTGTTTGCTGTCAATACCTAGAAAGAAATTTAAATAGCGTGTACAAGATCAAAATGCCACTTCTGTATAATAGTTATATAACAGCACTACATGCAACATATCAACTGGCGTTAGTTGGCTGTGGAAGATATTCTGCTACCTTAGGAAAGACAGTAGATTGTATAGTTATCTCCCAGTGTGGGTGTGACCCTAAAACTATACAACCTACTACCTCATCCCAAAGAGCAAATTCTACTTCTGATGCATTCTTTTTGTGCAATTAGTGCTCTGTAGAAACACAGAGTGAAATAATGAACAATTTAACATGTGCTACAAAACAAAGTCAAACTCTCATATCAGTTAAATCAAACACATCTACTTAATATTTATGAAATTTAAATAGCAAAATAAAGTTACCTGGTAGCATCATTTCATTGTTTGCTATGACAAATTACTCAGAAGTACAGGACTGACTCTACTCTATCCAATTTAGAATTTCTATATAACTGAACCATGCACAGTATAAAAGTTTGATCAATCAAAACTAAACTGACAATTACATTATGTTCTGTTATTAACTGCCATTTAATGTATTCTTTTCTCCAAGTATTATTTCCTGAAACATACTCCTCTCAGGCCGTTGCCAGTAGTATTTTTGATCCAGATTTTAAGAACTGCACAAGTGCATCACAAAATAGGTCTCCCTTCACATTCCAAAATATAGTCTTGCAAGGGAAGGGGTGGGGTGGGGAGATGGGGGAGAAAGAGAGAAAGAAAGAAAGAGAGAGAACATGAATAGCAATTACAGCTGTTGAACACAAATGGGAAGATTACATTTTTTTGCCAATTTCTATTGGGAGCTTTAAGCTTTCTGCTTCACTGTCACTATGCTGAAAAAAATACAAAGCAGCATTTACAGTTATGGTCATCCAAGCATTCCAAAGCAGAGGACCTCCAGAACAATCTAAATTAATCTGATCTATTCCAAATAAGAGTCAGGATTACTGATTATTGTAGAAACTAAAATTTACATTGAAAAAAAATCAAAAGCTAATATTCTGAACCTCTGTACCTGTGGTCAGTGCACAGATGCCCGAAGCTACGTAATTGAAAATGGGTTACTTCAAACTATTTCAAAGAAGGTTACTAATAGATTGGGATGCTCAGATCTAATGTGCAGTGTAATTTTAAAAAAAATCCCAAAACAGTCTTCATCCAGGGAACGGAGTTTATGCCCTATGCATTTCTCACTCCTTTCACTTGAGGATAGTTGAAATAATTAGATCACTTACGATGAAGATATTGACATTGCAGTAAGGAAAAAATAGTATACTTTCACTGATATTCAGCACATCTCAGACATTCTGCACCAAAATGAATTCTAGCAGTTCAAGAAGGCAGCTCACCACCCTTTCTCAAGGGCAACTAGAGTTAGGCAATATTGGCTGGCCCAGCCAAAAATGTCCACATCCATAAATGAATTAAAATAAAAAGTCCAAGAAAGATGAAGAGAGTTCAGGTTCAGTTGTGATGCTCCCTAACTGACCCATTGGCACAAAGATCGCAAAACCATATGAGTTCAAGTTAACTTACACTATTTTTGCCTCTTGAACGGGACTTGCATCACAGAAAAAAGCATGTGATAAGAACACTGGAGGCCTTGCTGTAGGAGATTAACAGGAGGTAGTCAGTACACAGTTAAAATCAGCAGTGAAGCATCCCACAAGCTGTATACAATACTACAGACGTTTAATGATCTCATGTGAGTAATCAAGATCAGCGATTCCATCCTCAAATGCCATTTTCCACCAACAGCATCAGTAGCCCCACACACCTCCAGTAACACCTCCCCTTTACTTGGGAGCAATTGATAGCAAACACAACTCACGTGTAACATTCATAATTTCAACTCAACCTCATACAATTAATGCTACTGTGGACCTCACACACATCTCAAAGGTGGTGCACACTGCCAATATTCAACCATTTTAGGCCCAGCACTCAGACACATTGTGCCATTGAATTTGGTACACTTTCATCTCTCTTGCATGATAAGAGTATCCAGACTACAAAGAGCAGCACGTAACCAGCAGGTACAGGCAACAGATACATGACCTCACCTTTGGGGAGATAGTGCTCTACACCACTGGAATGACCATGACAAGAAGCAAAACTGGCACCATGGAAGCTGACATTACAGTCATATCCGAGCCTCCTGCTCACGTCCTATTTCTCCTTTATCACACAATACCTTGATTTGTGAGCTGTAGATGGTTTAAACATTAATTTCTTGATTCTCCTTCCTTCCTTCACCACAACATTTTATCCTTATATTTGCTTCTTTTAGATACCCAGGAATTATAACTTGTCCATGTAAGAGCAAGAGTAGAAGGAGCAAGGAAACACTTTTGATGAAGAAACAGAGTTCTCAGTCAACAGCTCAGATATTGACACTGTATTTACCCTAGACATCAGGGTCGGCATGCAGCAAGTAGAAAAGAGTTGCACAGGTACCAGTCAGATGGAGATGTTGCATAAAAGTTCTATTGTGCATGACCTAGATAAGGACATGAGTGATGAAATTGACAGGAAAAATTTAGATAGGTATTCATGTACAAAGGATATGCATACAGAAATGGTTGCTGCATTGGGAAGTCTGCCAAAATGTGCAGGCATTGCCAAGGAGCAGGAAGGAGTAGGCAGCTCAAGGCTTTGCACAGAGCTGGGGATCCAACCCTTCCTGCAAGTGGTGCTCAACATCATTAACACAGTTGCAGACCCAATCATGATGCAACATCTCATGACGAATGTGTCAGCTACCACGACAGTTTATAAAAAGGAAGCTGTTCGAAGTTGGAGTGCTGTGATGGAAGCTCAGACTGTGACATGCAAGTTCAGATGAAAGCCACAGCCAACATGTCAATGTTTCAAGAGGCTTGCAGTGGCCTTTCATTTAACACTTTGCTAATATTGCTGAAAAGTCACTGCGGGAGTAGAAGTGGCTGCACAAAGCACAAACCTGCTGTCCCCTCTCAGGATGGCAGCATTTGTCCTCTCACCACTACCATTCTGCTAGTGCCCTTAATGTCACCCATGAGGCAGCCAACTTAGTGTTACATCTCAGATTAAGGTGGCGTGGCCCCAAATCATGCCTGCTCAGACAAAAGTTGCTCAAGTTTGTTCTGTAAGGCCATCTGCAGACCCCAACTAAACAGCAGTAATCTTCTGTCATTCAAGCTGTAGTCATAAGGTAGCTCAACAGGAGGACTAATACAAGCACAAAGAACTCATGTGAGAATTTTTAGATTTTTTTTTGCAATGGAATATTGTGTGAGGTCACTGAGTTTAATAATGTGTATTTTGTACGGGATTTTAATGTTAATATTCTAGTCAAAGGACACTGTTATACTCAGTAACAGAGGATAAGAGAAGTTGAATGGGAAATTGGGATTGTGTTTGCTGGCACAGTAGTCAAGTGAGCCAATCATGGGAATCTAATCTAGAAAGATGCTGTGGGAGTTAAATCCTGCCTTCTTCCACTGTTCACTCTATTCTTGGTGGCAATAATGAGTTATGCAGCATGCAGAACCATATTTCCGAGTACTTCAGAGTTTTACCAGAATGGTCTATGCCACAGAAATATTTCTTAAACACTCCAAAAGTCTGCATGATGACATCTTGTGTGCTAGCATAGCTTTTGTTAAGTGTACAGCGTATAGCGTATATGCGCATGGTTACCTTAAATACTTCATTGCTCAGTTGACAAGTTCTAGTTTCTCCTGGTGGTTCAAATGTTGACAGCGCATTAGAGCCTGTCACTAAACAAAGGCATTCTGACTGCTACCAGTTACCAGGTATTTACCTGCAATACTGTGCTGTATATTGTTGCACACCAGCAACTAAACCCCTTTCCAGTTTTGGTACAACTGTGAAGTTACATGCAGCACCTGCAGAGTGACAGGTGCTGTAAACATCACATGCAAAATGCTCTTCTGGTAATACTGCGCCATGTGAATGAGAATGCTCATGACCATGGTCAATTTCACCAACTCGCGGTCCTACTGATAGGCTGGTGTCCTTGTAGCGATTTGACTGTAATGGAGACAACTCACACATTGTGAGATAATAGGATTTTCTGAATCGTCAGCTTTCCAGCTCCTCTGATGCTGCCTGGCCTGCTGTGTTCATCCAGCTCTATACCTTGTTAACTCATACATTGTTTCTTCTTGGAGTTAGAGGATAATCCTTGAAAATCCTAGGTGGATGCGGCATCCTGTTAAAAGCCTTTCTTCCCCCTCATCATCCCTCTAGGCAGCTTGCCCAGTCACTTTTGCTCATTGACTGCCATGCTGCAATCAAGGAGAATGGAAAATACACCATGTGATGGCGTACAAACAGAACTCTTGAAATAAGAATCAAGGTCTTCACCAAGTGCTATACTATTTCCTGTAGAGTTCTACAATCTGAAATCATTACATAGAAGTTTACAAACACATCTAACTCAGCAACAGCCAGTAGATATCAACTAACCTGAAAGGGGTCAATGATCTCTTTAACTAATGCTTAAGTGGTGCTTCATGCAACTAAACTAAGTTACAGTTGTGAGAATATCTTTAACTAAAGCAAAGGCTGTAATTGGCATTAAGAGATTCATATAATTACATGCTGACCCAATTCTATGAGCTGCCTAATCTATATACTTCTAGATCACTCTTCCAGCAACTACATTACTCACTCATCCAAAACAGCATCCAGCCTAGTCCACACCAGAAGTGATCTGTGCAGCATGGACACAATTTTGGAGCCAAGACACCATTCGCAGCCCCAATAATACAGGCAATATGCTACTGAATTTTGTAGCCCAGTTGCCTTAGGTTCAAACAAAGTATTTTGCTAATGCAGAAGGTAACTAGCACCCAATGAACCATGCTTGAACATGAACCAATATATTGAGGAAAGCAAGGTTTGGGAGGCAAATATAAAACATGAACAGTAGCTTTCTGGTATAACACTGTCAGCAAATAGTACAAGCCGATTTCCTTGCATGGTGAAATCTAGATACTAGCTGGATATCGAGGAAATTGTTATATGGCAATAAGCTGATCTAATGGATCAAGAATGAAACAGATTTTTGTTTGTTGAATCACCAAATGTTAACCACACAGTACCTGCCCCTGAAACAGAGCAACATTTTGATTAAATAATCCATGCAGAGTGAGATTAAAGGGAATTGCATTCATATAAATTTCAATGTATCAAGCAGCATCAAGGATTAATTCTGAAAGAATAATCGAAATTCACTCTTTACTATTGTGGACAGTGGTCAGTAGTCAGTAAATGCTGTAGTAACAAATAGCTGCAGGCCAAACACAAAAATTACATAGTACAGGTTAAGCTGCATGTTTCATTTTATTAAATTGCCTAATGCCCTTAATAAAATTATGCAATTCATTCTGTTCTTGCCAATAAAAGGGAATTTAGTCATTCTAAAATCCAAGATTAATTTATGTTGGTTATTCCCAACTACTCTAAATATTAATTCATTCCAGTGATTTAAGTCCCCTACTGGATAAGGATATTCCTCAATTTTGACAACCTTTTATAATTAACCTGATCAATCCATCATTAAATGAACACATGCAGATCTTCTTTTTCTACCTTCAACTCTTTCAAAAACTCATTTTCTATATATGCCAACGTTCTTCAGTCCTCTATGTCTTTAGCTATATTACATCTTAAGGTCTATGACTCTTCCACTAAATATATGGAGGAGGCTGAATTTTCCTGTTTTCAATATGGTTGATATAAGCTCATAAATAGGGTACCGTCTCTCTTTCGTGAATAAAGAGAAATAGCATAATCAAAATTTTCAATAATTCCTCAAAAAAATCTGCTTACACTGTCTAATATTCCACAGTAAACCATCCAAACAACTTTAAAAAGTACTCTTTGAAACACTTTTTTTTGAATGTTGGCAATCGGCAGGAAAGGTTAATAATCACATCAAATATATTAACGGCATTCAATGTAAACTACAATTTAAATGCTAGATTCCTTCATTTGTGTTATTTTATACAAACTGCATGATAATTTCTGCACATGCAAGTCACTCCCCATTAGACAAACACTTCAGAAAAAGAATCTTCTCAACCTAACAATTCACCGGATCATTCATCTCAATGAACAGCCATACTTGTTTTGTGCGTGCAGCTTTCAAATTTCCTGCATCTAGGTTATTTACACTAGATTCATAACGAATTTATTTCTATATTGTAAAGCAAATTAAACTGGAGAGTTTCTGAAAATGTCAGCATAAGAAGGCTTAACCCAAGGTTATTTTAAAATGCACATCTGCATTGCAGTATTGTCCCTCCAGATCAGGAACATTCACTAGCCATCTTATTTTTTTTTAAACAATCACCCATTTCGTTCTGTTATTTTAATTTGTTATTTATTTTTGCATTTTTCAAAAAAAAAAACCACTCATTTTTCAGTTCAGAAATATAAAATGCTTGCTGTAGGTTTTTTTTGTCATAGTCCTTGTTCATGTGTCATTGGTTTTGTTAGGGTTCCCTCTCAAGAAATTCAAGACAAATACCAACACAAAATTAACGTAAAAACAAATTAATAAACGCATATTATTTAAACCTTGGCTCAGAGACAAAAATGTTGTGTCTCATTAGAAAAGATAAAAATCGTAACATGACGTTGAATGCTTTATTGCCAAAATGTAGATACTTGCCGCACTTCAAACGCAAGCCAAATAGGGACAGAGAATCTTCTCCTTGGTATCATTCACTCTGTAGAACAAAAAAAAAGTGAGGCCGCAAGCTTCTTTTGTGAAACACTGACTGTAAAAATGGGAGAAAAAATTAGATGTTAAAAGCGTTAAGAAAAGTCTTCTGTTTTAATTTGGCTACCTCAGATCCATTTGACAACCACTGAAAATTTAAACAAAAATGATTTATATGAGCTTTGCAGACAAAACAAAATTCTTTTTTAAAAAAAAACAAGCCTTGATGAACAGACAAGCAGCACTTCTGATGCATGCTAACGCCCTTACAAACTAGCCTCGTATTCATTTACATTAATATTCAAAAGGGCGGATGTCATTCTACAATCCAATGTGGATGCTCTCAATTCCAAAATTACAAATAAAATGCACGTATACATCAACAAATCTTCTACGCCTTATTATACTGATATATTCTTCCATGCTGACAAACGAACAATGAATTTTATTTAATCGTCTTTTTAATGTTTGGTCACAGTTTGGCATAAATCCCAGACTTGCTCTCATACGCACCCCGTGCACCCCTCTGTCTGCAACCTTCGCCAAAGAATTTGTTTTAGTACTGAGCACAGATGGGAGCGAGTACTTGGTACAAGCAGCACCCAAATGGATACATATTAGGAATATACTGGCAGCGATACAAAAACGTGAACCTTTGCAAGGAACTGGCACAGGCCTTCCTCAGATTAGCATTTTACATGAACTCAAGATGAAAAAAGAAAATCAAGTGGGTAAACCATTACATTTTATTTTACAAAGAAAATTATTTCACTCGCCTTTATACTGCTTTGGTGATAAAGATCAGCCGCACAGGAAAACAAATCCAAGGTAACCAAGGCATTGCTTGCTTCGGAGAGCATGCTGATGCATGCCCACTTCACTGACTCCTTCTACGTCAGTTACAGGACAAACCATGCAGCAGTATTTTTGTTTGTAACCGTGCACTTACCGCAACTACAATCAGACATCCGTCAATAAGGACACCATAATTTTAATTTTAACAGTTTACACAATAATAACTGATTAGTTTTTTTTTCCTCCGATTGAGTACTAAAAAAAATTGACAATTGATGCCTAAATTATGATCGAAGATAATGAAGTGTAAACAACGTTATTAGCCATAACATCACAATGATTATGTAAGAAAACATTAATTTATTAGTTTACTATAATTACTGAACAAGCGAGGTCAATGAGATTTCACATTCTTAGTATATGTCACACTTTGAAGTGAGGAAATATAAAATCGAATTTATTTATTTCATAAACCAATGTACAGGAAATGGATCAGTTATAAAACTTTGAGTTACAAAAAGTTAGACTTAAAAATTCTAAAGTCGGACTACATCGAAGTAGTCATTATTTTCTGTATTGTGCAAAAAGAAATCTGAGGTTTAAGACACAAAGGCCAAAAAAAATTAGAATCCTACTTATGCAGTTCACTGCTGTTAACAGATTAAAGAATAAAATCATTTGTACTATTTGGTCATGTAACATGGAGATTGGCAGCATTATGAATTTCACATGTACTCTAGGAACTAGGCACATCTTTTAAAAAATTAATAATGTATGCCATCTTACTTGCTGGCTTGAATGCAGTCACAGATTTTTTTTCAGTTAGGACTTGGGTATTGATCCTTCTAATACAAGTTATATCATGGTTACTTTTAGGCTTCTTTGCACTTCAAAGAATTCTGGACTGAAGCCAAAATGCCAAATCTTTGGATAGCCACCAAAGATGCAGATTCAAAAAAGGACATGTAAATGTTAGATCCCTGCCAGAAAAAGTACAAACTAACAGCATTTAATCTATGGTCAAATGTAAGATTTTATCAGTACAGCATCTCACCGTTTCTCTGAACCACTTAAAAAGGAGATAAAATGCTGATTTTTCCTGTTTAAAGCTTCTAAATTTTTATTTTGTTCCATCAGGCAGATTACTGAAAACAAGCAAGAATTCATTGGCTTTTTAAAATACACTGGCCACGTCCTCACCAAATTATTTTAATTTAATGGGGAAAAATATACGTAAATATTTTCAAAACTGAAACTTAAGGACATCCTCAGAAATATGAAGAAAAATGTCATGGTTAATTTTTTTCTTTTAAAAAGCTTTAAGATTTTAATCAGCTAGTAATTATTTACTTATTCTTCTTGAGCTTTTAAGGAAGCCATACATTCGCACTGCAAAATGCAACACAAGGGATGCAGATTGATGCAAAACAGATTTTTGATGTTTTCTAATCAAGCAGATTCTCAATAGAGAAGTAGGATTTCACTTATCTGGTAATCATATACTCAGCAACATTTAAGCTTTCAAACATAAATCAGCAGCTGTAGTTAATCTTGCTACATTTCCGCACCAACATAATGTAAACCAACACCCTCAAACACAAAGCAGAGTAGCCCACTCATAAGGGAACATTTCTATCAATCAAATTTCAAGATTTCAATGGAAATAATGGTGCATTTTAATCAAAAAAACTAAAACACATCTAATTCAAAACACATTAACTTGCAAACATACCTAATTATACAATATACAAAAACTTGCATTTATAAACCTGCCTTAATGAAACATCCCAAGACACTGAGCCATAATGCACACGTTAGGACTGGGACCAAATTCCTGGCTAAATAGAGATGTTTTAAAGAACACCATTGAAGAGACACTGAGGCAGAGAAACTTAGTGTGGAAATTTCATAGTACAAGATTCAGTTACTGAAAGCACTGCCGCCAATAGTGGGGCAATGAAAATAGTGGACGCACAAAAGGCCAAAACTGCAGAAGCACGTTAGGATAGGTTAAATGGAGATGGGAAGGGATAAAGTACAAAAACAGATTTGAAAAACAAGTATGCAAATTTTTTACATCGACCTGTGCTGGGTTGGATGTCAACGAGTCACAAGGGTGATGCATGGTCAGGACTTGGTGCATGTTAGGATATGAACAGCAGTTCTGGATGAGCTCAAATAGATAAACTTTTTAAAATCTTTTGAAAATTTGTTAAAAGATTTAAACTTAATAAGGAAATCCATGCATATCTGCATCAACTTCCCCTGCTTCTCAGCATGTTATAATTTAATATGGAAACATTAAATCCTGAACACTTCCCTTTCCAAACCATGAAATTCAACTGGTCTTCTGAAAATAACATCAATTTGATATTTTATTCCAGTTTCAGAAACTTTTGCAAAACAAGTATAAAGATACATTAAAAATGCTGATAGAAATCTGAGCTGAGCATTTTCATTTCATTTGGCGAGTGTAATGTCATGGGAATTAAAACATACTGCATGACTTAACTTAGTATTCCCTCCCTCTCTCTACACCAATTTGCGTAGATCTTATTCCTGAAGGTGAAGGAATTGGCTGCCCCTCTCAACTGTGTCTAATTCTGGCTTAACGAAATACTTTCATTCTCAACAAGCTCTCAAGTGTGGAATTTTTTTCCCCAAAATGTTGCATTACCCATGTAATTGCTGGCCTCGATGCACTATATTAGTATGTTACCATTTGGTATACAGCAATCAAGTACTAAAATGCAGTTTTGTTGTTCAAACATGAGTCGTCAACCTTATTGAATAGGATTTTACATTCTCTCTATATATAAAACTAACTCAAAACAAAGTCTTACAGAATGTGAAATAATTTTTGACTATCCACATGAGGAAACTTACAAGATACTGGGCAATCCCAAAGAAGAAAATTATTTAGTCTACTCACCCTCAAATGGTTAACATTACAGAACAGTTCATTCTACTTATTAAAAACAAAAATAATTTAAAGTTAACATAACTGTAATCTATTTGAAACCTTTATTCACTAACTGTCAGTTCAAACACGATTTTATACTATTGATCCCCATTAAGTAACATCAGCATCTGCAATGATCATGTCAAGTGGTGAAGTACAAAGACAGGATAAAGGCTCTTAAAATCAAAGTCAATGTTTCTTCCATATGGCTACCTAGATTAATTCCATTCTCCTGCTAGCTCTCTACAACCATAAATATCACCGTTTTGAATCTTAAAGTAGGCTGGAGATATTCAGGTTGGAATTTGACAATTTTACAAAGTTTTGTTCCTGGCTCAGTGTGTTAACAGCAAGAGGTTCAGGGTAGAAAACTGAAATCAAGACTGCAGCCTTCTATCCATTACCATGTTCAGTAGCATGGTTCTGCAGCAGGCATAAGTACTAAAAGCACCAAACCTTTTGTCAAAAAAGGTAAGAAGCATCATGTAGTTAGGTTGCATTAGGAACATTATACTGGATGAAAGGTCTCAAGACACTCATGTTGTAACATTTCAATTGGATGTTGTAGCTTTTATTTGTGTAAAAACAGTTATGATCATGCATGGAAAGCACAAGGAGGTAAAGCTGCATGAATAATTTGAAGTGGCAGCAATACAAGAGTAACAGTTAAAGAGGCACTTTGTGGCAGCTCCTTTTTCAAGTCTGCAATTTTACTCCTCATGTGTTAATGACATTGTTTACGTGCTATCCCTAGTCTTTCCCAAGCAAGTGTCTTTTTTTTAAAAGCATTCAAGTTCAATCAGATCTGCAAACCTGAATGTGTATAGACAAGAATGGACAATTTTGCAGGAATATATAAATGTTAAATCTCTTCTGCTGGCTTGCAGACAAGAATATAGGTCTTTAAATGGTCGGGAAAGGTTTTTAATTTCCCAGTGGGGCAAAAGACAAGAACCTACTAGATTAGACACCTTGAATTATAACCTATTGTGAGCTTAAAATTGCATTCAATAAAAGAGATCCCTTATTGTCACAATATTGCCCAACCTGTTCATGAATAGGAATTTCGATCAATATTTTTCTCTCTTTGCTTTTTTTAAGCAAAAAGACAGACAAAAGTGCAATGTAATCAACTAGTTTTATACCAATGTCCACAAACAATGTTTATGCATCAGTGAAACCAAGCCATGACAAGATTAGAGAACAGAACGGGGCAGAGGGATATAATGTTGGAAAGCATTGCACAAAAGAGAAAAGCTAAATAGCTGTTAATGAAATATTCTTTTTACTCAAAAATTTGGATTTAAACATAAAAATCTTAAGTTTAGAAATGACAGTTTTTACTTTAAATATCCAAATATTGGTGTAGGATTGGTAAATGCATAGAAATAACAATTTACACAGTCAGCTGTAATAAAACAATCCAATATAACTGTTGATGTGACTGGAATCACACAGTGCCATAGTGTAATGCAAGGCATTAAGTCAATGGAAAGTTAACAGTGTAGTAAAGCAAGATAAGTTAATGAGTCAGATAGTAATTATGTAATATATTTCCACTCATGACAATGCAGAGGTCAGGATGGATTTCTAGTCCTTCTACTGTGGACATTTTTCTCTCTCATCACGCAAACCTGCGAAAACACTAGACAAGTAAAGATCATCTGGTCCATCAAACCTGCCTCGCATAGTTGCCAAATGCCATTCAGCATTCATGACTCAACATCCTGTTAAGAACTAGGATTCTGTTTCTTCTGGATGCATCAATAACATGCCTCTCTCTTTTCAGGCGATAAATCTTTTGCTAATATTTGTTGCACTTGAGGAGGAACCTGGTAAGATTTCAGGCAGTGTAGCAATAGCTATTTTACATTAATAAAAAAAATAAAATGTTGCAAATACTCAGCAGGCCAGGCAGCGTCTGTGAAGAGAGAAAATAAAAATTAAAGTCTCAAGTTACTAACCCTCAAAATTAGTGGTTTGCTTTTTTTTAAAAAAAAGTGTTTGTTAACAACTTTTAATTTGATATTAATGCTAGCACATACTGTCTTGTACCAAAAGCAACATTACATTTTCCACATAAAACTGTCTGCAGTGAAATAATTTGCACTAAAGTAGTGTATTTACCAGAGCAAAATGTTCAAAGGTACTCTCACGACCGACAGCAGGGCTATGACTAAAATCTTAATTAAAGGCAGCTCAACATTACCTCAATACCATTTAGGGTTAGGTAATAAATGTGGGCCTAACCAACGGCAACCGCATCCCATGAATGAATGAAAAACACTTTGAAGAGATGAAGAAGTGGATTTAGGAAGAGAAATCCAGAGTTTAGAGCCAAGGAAACCAGAAGCACAGCTGTCAAAAGTGGAACAATCATAGCTGTGGATGTGCTAGAGGCCAGAATTGGAAGACAGTAGAGACAGGAAAGGTGTTTAAATTTGAAAGTCACAGAGATAGGAGGAGCAAGACCTCTGTGGGGTTTGAACATTAAGAATTAAGGATTTTAAAATTGGGTGTTGTCAAAAGAGAGTCAGTGAAGGTCTGCAAGCAGATGGGCAATAGGAGAATAAGCTTTAGAGAGAGTTAAGATATGGGCAAAGTTTGAAACAAGTACATTTAGGCACAGATGAGGGTTTCAACAATAGGCAAGGTGTGGCAGCAAAGATGAACAATGTTATCCAGAAAGAAGTGGGCAATTTTGGTGATTATGTTTACATAGTCTGAAACTCATCTCAGGTCCAAAAATAACATTAAAATTGCAAATAATTTCAGCAAATCTCAGCCAAGGAAGGGACATTAGTTTGTTAGCAGTTTTCTCAGAATAAAGTTCATGGGATAGTCAAGACACAGTCAGAGAGAATGTTGCAGGAGATGGGACAGGAACTAAAGAAAAACGTCAGCTTAGGATGGATTGTCCTGTTGGTCTGCAGGAGAGTAACAGCAAAGGCAGTCAAGTGGATAATTTCCATTCTTGCTGACATTATAATTATTAATTACCTAACTAACACAAAGATGACACTTGAGCTTCGTTTAAACTCAATATTCACACTATTAACTGCCAGAATACTTGTGGCAAAGAGCCTTGTATAAAATATTATCTTTGCTGTATAACCTACAGTCAAGCTTATACAAGTCAGATTCATAGCACAAGAAAAATATCAAACTAATGTGTTAATTCTATTCTACTTCATTCCCAGCCTAGAAGTGTAAAATCAAAATGTCTGCACTCAACTTCCATTAACCACCAGAAAGTTTGTTTGGCTATACTGGATAACAAAGGTTCCACTGCAAAACAAACCTACTTGCCCATGAAGCCATTAATATGATTTCTTCTATTCTGTTCAGTTACAATTTAAGAGAGGATGTAAAAACGCACATTTCAAGCTCTTCAAAAATAATCCCAGTAATTAATGCTTTGAAAGCAGCATTACAGCATAACATAGGCCATGGCCCATTAACGTTGTCACTTCTTTAAGGATAAATGAAATATTAACTAAGGTTCAGTTGACAGCTATTGCCGCTCCTAGTCAGATGATTATCAGTTAAAATGTGATCTTAAGGTTGGAGCACGATAACAAGGTGATGCTCCAGCACAGCACTGTAGGAGTGATGCACTGTTGGAGGTGCTGTCTTTTAAACGAGATGTTAAACCAACACCCAAGAAATTATCCCATAGCATGATTTGCGAAAACAGCAGGCGAGTTACCCCTGGCGTCCCACTTCAAAATCAACATTACATCATTTATTATATTGTTTTCTGTGTGAAAGTTGGCTGCCATATTAGAACAGTGGATATATTTCAGAAGTATTTAACTGGCTGTAAAGTGCTACGGGACGTCCAAAGGTTGTGAAAGGCATCATATAAATGCATAATGAGATAGTGGCGCAAAGTTAACAAAAGAAGGTACATTAGCACTGCTGCCTCATAGCGCCAGGGACCCGGGTTCGATTCCAGCCTCGGGCGACTGTCTGTGTGGAGTTTGCACATTCTCCCCGTGTCTGCGTGGGTTTCCTCCAGGTGCTCTGGTTTCCTCCCACAGTCCAAAGGTGTGCAGGTTAGGTGAACTGGCCATGCTAAATTGCCTGTAGTGTTCAGGGAGGTGTAGATTAGGTGGGTTATAGGGGGATGGGTCTAGGTGGGATGCTCTGGAGGTTCAGTGTGGACTTGTTGGGCCGAAGGACCTGTTTTCACACTGTAGGGATTCTATGATTAGCCAGATTTAAAAATAAACACAAATATCTTTGAAACCAACACACAAATGTGATAACAGTAATCCCATGATTAGCCTCCAAAATTCCAGTTACCACACAAGAGTTGAAGATAATTTCTTAGATCGGCTCTACTCACAATCTTGATAAAGGATGAAATTTATGCTCAGCTAGTTATACACCATTCTACAGCTTTCATTGCCTGTCAGGCCACCTGCAGAAGTGAAACAAAACAGACAAAAGTTCTATGAAAACATTCCTTTCAGACAATTCAAAGCAAACAAACACTTAATTCCCTTAAAACACCTTACAAAGTGCATGGAATAGAAAGACTTTCCAAATAAATAGCAATGATATAACTGTGAAGCAGAAGTCAAACTGTAAAATACCTTAACTCATATCAACATTATGCGGCTCTGATCAAACTATACTCTGAATATTGCATTTATTTTTGTTTGTCAACACATGCTGAAGACAGTGCAGAATACAACCAAAAGCCTATTCCATCCTGTCAAAGACTAAGTTATCAAGAAAAAAAACTTTGCTCATCAGCTCAGGGATCTGGTGTAATCATACAGAAATATTTAAGATTGCTCAGAGAACAGAAAAAAAAAATTCATTTTCGATAGCATTTTAAATTGCATTACACAAAAAGTGAACAATGCATACAACTGATTTCCAAATACAGTACTGGAGGGGAAAACTCTAGATTTGTTTAAAAAGCTATTGCTCACTACAATGTGGGGCAGAATGGATACTTACAGATCTTTTTGGACAGATGGATGGGTAAAAGGTGTTCTTTCATCTGAAATTACCCTAATTAGCAACTGTACAAGGTCAAATATTTATATTTAATGGAATATTATTGTGCTTTTACCTATAAATACTAGCTGTTCAGATCTCCTAAGAAGCTAAGACTTAAATCTAGCAATTATTAACCTCACTGGGGTAGCAAACTGGAAATAATCCTCAGCAATTCCACAATCATCACTGAAGTTGAAGTTTTTAAGTAGTATGCAAAATTACCCATTTTATTTGTCTTTTAGACTCAGGTTGATAGAAAGAACAGATCACGTTTTTATACTTAACAAGAAAGACTATTTATTATAAATAAATAGATTCTAGCTACAAATGCAAACAATTATGAATCATTGACATGTAACTCTAAAATGATATAAAAACTTTCTCTCTCTCTCTCTCTCTCTCTCTCTCTCTCACATGCAGACAGACACAGATAGAAACAAACATGGGTTTGATAAATAGAGGGAAAATGGAGGGAAGCAGTTCAACAGTGCCTGTTCACAGGGTTTATAGAGGTGAACCTTTTGGCTTGCCAGGACATGCTGCTGCTCCTTGATACTCCTTCTCCAGTTACTTTCACGTGCCTTTAGGTGATATTATACAGAAAATTAGTATGCAAATACAGATAGTAATAAGGAAGGCAAATGGAATTCTGGCATTTGTTGCTGAAGGAATAGAATATAAAAGTAGGGCTGTGTTGCAGCAACTGTACAAGATATTAGCAATACCACATCTGAAGTACTGCATACAGGTTTGGTCCCCTTGAAGAGGAATGTTGCAGGCAGTTCAGATGAGGTTCATTAGATCTATTCCAGAGATGAGGGGTCTGTTTAATGAAGACAGATTAAGCAGTGTTTAGGCCGATGCTCTCCACAATTTGAAAGAATGATGGGAGATCTAACTGAGGAATACAAGATATTAAAGGGGACTATGAAGTAGATGCAGAGCAGATGTTTCCTCTTGTCAGACAATTAAGAACAACAGGTCATAGTTTTAGAATAGGGGTAGCAGATTTAAAAAGGTGACAAGGAGGAACTACTTCTCTCAAAAGATTGTGAATCTGTGGAATTCACTACTCCACACAGGGCAGTAGCGGTGGGACACTGAACTAATTTAAGGAATATATAAGCAAATTTTTAATTAGTAATGGGTTAAAGGGTTATGGAGAGCAGGCATCAAAAAGGATTTGAGGCCGAGATGAGATCAGCCATGATCATACGGAATGACGGAGCAGGCTCAAGGGCCGAACTGCCCACTCATGATCCTTGTTCATATATTCTTCTGTTATGTCACTGGACCACATGCCTATCAGTTAGTTGTTGTCAGCCAAAGCTCCTTTCCTACACAGCTTTTGACCCCAGCTGGTCTGCAAATTAGGCTGCCATTACTGCTTGAATGTTCAGCTGTGTAAACAATACTTACAAGTGCAGTAATCCTTCAAAACTTCTCGGTTTCTTTTTAAAAACACAATTTTTTACCCCTTTCAACCCACAATCAAAAATACAGAAAAATAAAGATACAGTCTTTACACAGCAGTATTATTTTGGTATTATTAAGTTTTGAGTGCAGCTTAGAACTCAAGCAGCCAGCTCTGTCTATGCATATGAGGCACGTTTATCTTCTATTAATACAGCCTCACATTGTTAATGTGCCAATGAATATATGAACATGCTGCATATAGCATCCATGCCATTTCCAAAACGTTAATAATTTTTGCATCAATTAATTTAGATTATACTTCCAAATGAACACATAAGTATGTATTTTAAGATATTTATTCATTTTGAAAAATAATGCAGCATTTAGTAAAATGCAAATGCACACCAGGAATTAAATGTTTTCTTGCAACTTCTGCTAAGTTTTGCTTATAGCAAAGTTAAGTTAACTATAAAACAGAACATCTTCCGTTGTTATTTTTGGTGTTTTCTGTGAAATCATTTTAAAGTATAATTATGAGGGCAAAAGGTGCCTAAATCCAACTCTGGATATTTCTATTAAAAGTAGCTACAATCAGTTTTACAAGGCAATTTATCTGCACTTTTTGTGTCAAATATTTCAAAGATGTAAAAATGAGGGGGAACTGATTCCCCTATTCAAGCCCATTCTGCCTGCCTCCAAATCTATCTGGATTATGTATAATAATTTATAAATTCACTTCACTTGACACCAAACAGCAATGTTGATCTTATCAGTTTTTTTTTTTAAGGACTACCACGGTGAGAAAACTGTAAATAAATTTGCCATGTACAGGTGATGGCCAAGCGATGAAAAAACAGCAACATAATTTCTCCAAAAAGAACTGCTCAATTAAAGGGCAGAAATTTAATTAATGAAGATTATGTACAAAATTTTAATATCCTTATACTACATACCCATTAGCCGTTAACTTCAAATTGATTAATGCCCACATAAAATATCCACACAGGAATCCACAAACATTGGCTTTGCTTTTATTTTTCATACTTCACTGTTTTCATAAATGAGTGTGCTTCATTTTTCTGTCTCTGTTTTCTGAACTGTTTAGATTGTACTCTGACGCAAAAGCCATAGAAATTAATTCTACAGTACAAAAAAGTGTCACCACGTCACACCTTCAGAATCTGGAAAGCAAAATCCAACATTCAATATTTTAGTAATGGAAGCAGCGATCTTACCCTGCAGCAGCATTGCCATTAAAATATTTTCATGAAACAAAATGAATAAGTATGTACTGGTAGGCATTACAGTGACAAGGCTACAGGATGACAGGGATTGGGACCTGAACCCTGAAACATACATGCTACTTTGGAATGGCAATAAGCTAGGAAAAAGGGGAGAGGTGGCTCTGCTAGTTGGTGGTGTAGTGGACAGCAACGGTTACTTTAGAGTACATAGGACCTTGATCAAATGGGCCAATGTGAGGTGCTGCATTTTGCAAAGGCAAATCAGGGGAGGACTTAAGATATTTAACGGTAACGTCTGTGGCAGTGTTGCCGAACAAAGGGACCTTGGAGTGCAGGTTCATAGTTCCGTGGAGTCTCAGGTAGACAGGATAGTGAAGGTGGGGTTTGGTATGCTTGCCTTTATTGGTCAATGCATTGAGTATAGGAGTTGGGAGGTCATGTTGCTACTGTACAGGACATTGGTGAGGCCACTATTGGAATACTGCATTCAATGCTGGTCTCCCTGCTTTAGCAAGGATATTGTCAAACTTGAAATGGTTCAGAAATGATTTACAAGGATGTTGGAAAGTTTGAGCTATAGGGAGAGGCCAAATAACTGGATCTATTTTCCCTGGAGCATGAGGGGCTGGGGCTAACCTTATAGTTTCTAAAATCATGAGGGGCATAGATAGGGTGAATCGTCAAGGTCTTTTCCCCAGGGTAGGGGAGTCCAAAACTAGAGGGCACAGGTTTAAAGTGAGGGGGGAAAGATTTAAAAGGAACCTAAGGGGCAACCTTTTCATGCAAAGGGTGGCGCATGTATGGAATTAGCTGCTATCGGAATTGGTGGAGGATGGCACAATTACAACATTTAAAAGGCATCTGTATTAGGTACGTGAATAGGAAGGATTGAGGGGGATATGGGCCAAATGCTGGCAAATGGGACCAGATTAATTTAGGATATCGGCATGTGCGAGTTGGACCAAACTGTCTGTTTCCATGCTGTACAGCTCGATGACTCTAAGCTGATGTAACAAAATACAGAGAGTTGACCCACGTTCAGGAAACCAAGATATGGAAATAGTTGGGGTAGAAATGAGAAACGATAAAGGCAAGAAGTCACTTGTCGGGGTGGTGCATAAACACTCTAGCAGCAACCATATGGCATAGTGCAGAATAAAGGAAGAAATGGTGAGAGCTTGTAAGAAACGCACAAGAAGAATCATGGGAGCTTTCAATAAACATATCGACTAGAACAGTCAATGCGCAAAGGTAGCCAAGAGGAGGGTTCTCAGAAACATTTTGGGATAGTTTCTTAAAACAGTACGTTCTTGTGCCAACCTGACAGCAGGTTATATTAGACCTGGTATTGTGCAATAAGATAGGATTAATTAATATTCTCAAAGTGAAGATGCAGGAGCCATAATAAAGTGAATGTAAAATTCAATTGTAAGAAGGGAGTAGATCTAAAATTATTTTTTAAAACTTTAATAAGGGAAATGATTACGGCATTGAAGCAAAGAGAATAGTGAGTGAAAGCTAAAGAGAATTGGCAAATTAGGTTAAGAGGATAAGTCAATAGAGATGCAGTGGCAGACATTTAAAGGGAGATTTCAGAATACACAACAGATACGTTCCAACCAGTAAGGAAAATTCCAAGGGAAGGACACAGCACCCTTGGTTAACTAGAAATGTTAAACATAGTATTGAACTAAAAGAAAGAAAAGCGCTCAATAGTGTAAAGACAGTTGGCACAGGAGACCATCTGAAC